AGGAGAAACAGGCAGGGTGTGTCTGCGTTCAGGCTGGAAGGGGGAAGTGCCAGCCAAGGAGCCGTGCCCGCAGGAGTTCTGATCTAACAAGCAGTGTAGCCGTGGGGGCGCACGGCGGGAAGGACGAGCTACCCCGCGTACGATCTCATCTGAGCCGTTACAGACGTACCGGGGGCAGCCAGCCCCTCCCATCGCCACGGCTACACGTCCAGCTCAAAAGTCGACGTACCCTTATAGCCTTTGGCTGGGATTGGCTAAGCAGCCTAGCGACTTCGGGCCCCCACCTCCCACTGACAGTCCATGGGAACTGGGTGCCCAACTCCCCTAGGCCCCTCTGAAAATCTGAGCCCTTTTCTTTCCTGTGAACAGAATCCCCCGTCTCTGCACCAGACATTTCATTGTGGATTAACCAGGAGGAGGATCCGGGCTGCGGGGCCCGAGGGGACTCTGGGGAAAACGAAATCAGTGGAAGCCCCTGCTCGGGTGAGTAACAGATTTTGCCATCTCAGAGCGGGCGAACGCAGTAATCGTCTGCGCCCAGCCATCTCCAGGGACCAGCAGCAGTTTTCTTACCCTCTGGGCAGCCTGGCACCCACGTCTGCATTGCTGTACCCGACTCCTACCGGCTTGTCCCCCGGCCTTTCAACAGCAACGCCCTGCGGTCGCCTCGCCCCGTGTGGGGCTGGCAGTGCCCCGGGGGGGCTGTCAGAGAGCAGCCCCTCTGCTCAGGAGCTGGGACGGGACCTGCCCTGCATGCAGAGAGGATGCCGTCTCGCTCCCTTGCCTGCAGCGTGGGAGCCTGGCCTGTCTGGCCGTTAGTGCACGTGCTCTGCGTTCATGAAGCCCAGCAGGGCGGGGGTGTCCCTTAGTATTCTGGCTGTTCAGCAAATCCCCACCTTTGGAGCCGCCAAACTTGTCTTGGGGCAGAGGAGGGGTCCACAGTGAAGGTGGTGAGGCCTGAGCTCGGTGTTCGGCTCCGGCCGAGAGCGGGGAACGTGGTGTAATCCTCTTTGCCCTGAACAGAGTTTCCGATTGTCCCCCCCGATGCCGTGTCCTGGGTTAAACGAGAGGAAGAGCCGTGTGGGCAGGATCGGCCGGTCTGTGGAGAAGGCAGAACCCCTGCAGGCCCCAGCGCTGGTGAGTAGCAGCCGGGAGCTCTGGGCATAGGGTGTGAGGGGACGAGCGGGGAATCCAGCCAGACCGTTTTACCATTTCTGCTCATCTGGTCTCAACTTCTCTAACGTGGTGTTAGTTTACAGGCCGCAAGCCAGCCGGTCGTGCCCCCTCCTGGCCCTGCCACACCCCAGAGCCCCTCCTCCTGTCCCTCTTTGGATAATCTGACCACTGGTCTTAGCCCCTTGTTTTCTGCTTCCTCTTGAGCCTGGCCACATTAGACAGAGGTGTCTTCTCTCCTCCAGCAAGAGCCAGTGCCAGCTTTAAACCCCCAACTCGGGGGGAAGTGGGAGTAGAACCCAAACTGGAACGTAATCCCCCAGGAGTGGAAGGGACTCTGGGACCCGGAGTCCAGTCCCCGCTATCGCAGGCCACCCCAGCATGGAACCCGGTGCTGGAAGTTTGTTTACAGCCCTGATTTTTCAGGGTGGCACCAGATACTAACTGAGCCGTAAATGTCTGTATTAAATCCAAGCGGAATTTGTACAGTTGCTCCAAACATGGCTGAAAGCCGCACTAGTCAGGAGTTGCCGCATCCAGACAGTGACGAACCTTGATAAGGCTGTACAAATGTTGG